TGGGTTCATATGTAGCAATCTATTGTATTGATATGCCATAATTTGTTTTAGCCATTCTCCAAATTATTTTGTGTTTTTTTTAATACAACAAAAAGTGTTGTTATAAATAAATATTTTTGTATGTGTGGATCCTTTTCTTCTTAATTTTATTTGACTTATATGCCTGATAATAGTTTAATGACTCTTGGGGTATAACTACAAGTTACTTTCCAGAATAGTTGATCCAATTCATAGTTCCACCATGGGCAGTGCCTCAGTGTTTCTGTCCTCCTACAATCAACATTTAACCTTTATTGTCATACTTGCCAATTTCATGGCTGTTCAGTAGAACCTGTTTATTTAATTTGAATTTCTTTTCTTATTAGTGATTTGTAACATTTTTATATGACTTTTAATAACTTTCTTTTCCTTTTTTGAGAAATCCCTTTCATATCCCATGTCTATGGCCATTTGTCTACTGAAGAATGGCTTTTGCTATTATAGATTTGAATCAGTTCCTAGTATATCTAAGCCATTGAAGCATTTATCAAAGAAATTTGCTGCAAAAATTTTTTCCCAGTTAACTGTTTCACTTCTAATTTTAACTGAACTGATTTTGCGTCAGAGGTTTTTGATTTTACAGAATCAGGAAACTAGGTGGTGCAGTAGATAGAATGTTAAACCTGGAGTCAGGAAGACTAAACTTCAAATCCTGTCTCAGATACTACCTTTGTGAGCCTAGACAAGTCACTTACCTTGTGTCTGCCTCAGTTTCATCAGCTGTAAAATGGGGATAATAATAGTAGTAACTATCTCCACAGTTGTTATTAGGATCAAATGAGATAGTATTTGTACAGTGCTTTCCAAACCTGAAAGCTCTATGTAAACTCTAGTTATTATTGTTGTTGTTAATAATCAAAACTGTTCATGTTATCTTCTGTGATCTTTTCTATTCCCTTGTTTGGTCAGGAACTGTTCCCCTGTCCATAGTTGTGAAGGACATCTTCCCCCTTGCTCCTTTAATTTGTTTATGATATGTCCTTCTCTATCTGTGTTTTTCATTTATTTAGATTAGAGCTTTATGTGGTATGAGATGTTGGTCTTAACGTAATTTCTGGGAAACTACTTTTCAGTGTTTCTAGTTGTTTTTGTTGAATAGGGAGTCTTTATTGAAGTAGTTGGCATCTTTGGGTTTATTTAACATGGTATTACTGTGTCATTTTGCATCTTCATGTTGTATACTTTTCTATTTCATTAATCAACTTTTCTATTTTTTACCCAGTAACAAATAGTTTTGATGATTACTGCTTTGTGGCATAGTTTGAGATCTGTTATTTCAGAGCCGCCTTCTTACTACTTTTTTCGTTATTTCCCTTGAGAGTCTTCTTTCAGATGATCCCCCCCCATTTTATAAAATAACTTTTTCGTAGTTTGATTGGTATTGCACTGAAAAATGAATTTAGGTAATATTGCCATTTTAATCGTATTTGAATGGCTCAACCATGAGTAATGAACATCTCTCTAATTTTTAAAGTCTGCCTTTATTTCTCTAAAGAGCTGTTTTGTAGTTGTAGTCATATAATTCCTGTGTGTCTTGGTAGTTAGACTCACAAATAGCTTATACATTTTGCGTATATTTTAAATGGAATTTTTCTTTCTATCTCTTTTTGCTGGGTTTTGTTGATAGAATATGAAATGGCTAATGATTTATGTGGATTTAATTTATGTTCTGCTGCTTTGCAGTGGTTACTGTTTCAGTTAATTTTCTAGTTGACTCTGTAGGGTTCCTTAAGTGAACCATCATATTATCTGCTTAAGGAGTTAATTTTGTTTCCTCTTTGCAGATGCTTAATTCATTTTACTCGTTTTATGGTTAACATTTAGAAAACTCTATCAAATAATAAAGGTGACAGTTGATATTCTTGTTTTATCCCTGATCTTATCATAAAGACTTGAGCATTTCCCCATTATAGAAAAGACATTATTCACCATATTAATGAGTAGTCCTGTTTATTCCTGTGCTTTTAAATGTTTGAATTTTGACTATAGCTTTTTCTGCATTTATTGATATAATTATATAATTTTGTTGTTGTTATTAATATGTTATGTTTATGGTTTTCTTAATACTGACTTAGTCTTGCATTCCTGGTATTAAATCCAACCTGGCCATAGTGTATAATCTTTGTGATATATTGATGTAGTTTTAATTTTTAAAAGTACATATCAAATTTAACATTGTAGTGACAAATGCCTTGTTTGTGCCCTTTCCCGAACTTTATCTTGTCATCTGTGTACTTAATACTTTACTGATGCTTTTTTCTTTTCCTTTTTTTCTCCTCAGTCAGTACCCACTAACTCTTCTCCTCCCCTGTAGAAACCCTCCATTGTAACAAATTATTACAGTGCAGCAAAACATTTCAACACATTGGCCATAACTGAATTGCATGTTTCATTCAGTGTGTTTAGTCTGTTACCGCCTCTGACCAGAGATGGGCAGCATGTGTCTGCATCAGTCTTCAGACATCATGATTGGTCATGGCATTGATTGGACTTTTGTACTCTTTCACAGTTGCTTCTCTTTACATTTCTTATTGTGGGCATTCTGTATTATTTTTTCTGCTCCTTTTACTTCAGCAGCTGTTTATACTAGCCTTCCCAGGTTTCTCTGATATTGTCATGTTTGTCATTTCTTAATGTACAGTAATATTCTGTTACATTCATCTGCTTCGGTTTGTTCAGCCATTCTCCGCTTGTTAGGCACCCACTTTGTTTCCAAGTCATTAGTACAACCAAAAGTACCATGATAAATATCTTTGTGCACATGGGTCCTCTCATGATTCTGCTTTAAATCCCTGCTATCATTATCTGTTAAATAGTTCATTTAAGTACATATGGCTAAATTCTTTAATTTATTTAGGCATATGTTACAGCTTGCATTACTCACTTAAATTCACTGCAGTATATGAAACCCATTTATAATACTGTCATTTCCAATTTGTTTGTCCTTAAGTCTTCAAATCTGCAAAAGACTCAGACATGAAGGAATGACCTTGGTCATCATGGGTGCTTCAGGACATCTCTGAAGCAATAGGTGTCTGCTGTGCTATACCAAGATAGCCAGATATAATACCAAAGAGAATAGTATGTTTTTTATTTAAAACTATTTTCTAACTTAAAACTTGAAAACTTTTTTTCGATAGACTGTCAGACAGATATCCAGTGATAACTTTCAGTTACTAACTAAACTGGTCTTGAGAGTCAATACACCAGATAAAATAGATGATTAGTTCCTGTACTCTCACAGTTCCCTTACTTTAATATTAAAATTCAATTCCCAAGTAAGATGCTTAGCAATCATTAATCCAAACAGAAACAAAAGTGGAATCTTTTTAAGAATACTATGTAGTTAATTCATTCTAAAGCCTTTATATGTGTGCTGTACTGTGCTAGGTAGTAGGAATTTAAAGACAAAAACACATTCTCTTCCCTCAAGGAGCTTATATTCTGCTGGAGAGAAATATGTACACATGAAAGTAGCAAATATGGGGTACTCAAAAAGTCTTGGTTCAGTTTTAATATATTAAAGTGGTATTATGCCATTAATGCTCAAAACTCCACTAAGACTTTCTGAATACCCTTTAAATGCAAAGTAAACACAAAATCATATCTGGGTGCCCCAGGAAAAGCCTCCTGTTGGAGGGGGCACTTGAACAGAACCTTGAAGGAAGCAAGGGAGAGAATGCATTCTAGGCATGGGAGACAGTCTGCAAAGGCTTGGAGACAGAGGAGAGGAATTGTTCTGTGCAGGGAACAGCAGATATGCCATTTGGACGAGAATGTAGAATTTATGATGGCCAGTAATCTGGACTCAGCCAGCTAAAGGTGATGGGAGCCATGTTGCCTGTTGGACATTTCCAGCTGGATTCCCAAAGGCATCCGAAACAGAGTTTGGTATCTCCCCTTACCCCAACCAGTTCATCCTCTTCCTAATCCTTGTTTCTGTTGAGGGTACCACCATCTCTGTAGTCACTTGGGTTCTCAGCATTGGAGTGTTCCTAAACCAGGAATGGAGAACCTGTAGCCTCAAGGCCACATGTGGCCCTGTAGGTCCTCAAGTACAGAATCCAAAGTTCACAGAACAAATCCCCTTAATAAAAGGGGATTTGTTCTGTAAAACTTGGACTCAGTCAAAAGGCCACACCAAAGGACCTAGAAGGCCACAGATTCCCCACCCCCGTAAAACTCTCCATTCTCACTGATACTCCTTCCCACTGTACCCACCCCCTATCTAATCAGTTGCCATGTCTTACTGATTTTTCTTCTACAACATCTAGCATTTGCTCCCTCTCCCTTACTTATGTGACCACTCCTTAGTTCAGGCTTCCAGCCTGTCTCTTTTAAACTATTGCAGTAGCCTCCTAATTGGTATCTCAGCCTCATATTCTTCTCTCTCCAGGCCAGTCTCCAGCATAGCTGTTGAATTGACATTCCTAATGCGCAACTCTGAGCCATGTTCTTTCTTGCTCAGAAAGTCCCAGTGGCCTTCTATTAATGTTTAGAATAAAATCCAAACCCTCAGTTTGGCATTTAAAACAGATATCAGAAGCTTGAAATACATAAATACACACACACACACACACACATTTTATTAGGGTGTGTGTGTGTGTGTGTGTGTGTGAGAGATATCAGTAACATGTCAAAGAAAGCTTTAATTTATTTAGGTAAGTTATTTGCCTCAGTCACTATAATAATTATCTTTAGATTATTCTAGACTCTGTACCTTGTTATAAATGTCTTGGTGAAACCTGATAAATATTTTGGAGCAAAATTCCCAAGTTAACAGCATGTAATCATATCTTTGAAAGATTCATTTTTAATGGCTTTAAAGGAATTGTTTTTATATAAGGTCAAATGGTATTTTGTATTATTCTGATAAGGTAATTTGAAAATATTTATCTATTAATAACATAATCAAATGATTTTCTAAAATGTTTATAATTCTCCTATATGTTAATATGCAGGACAGAATCCAGATAGTCGATTCCTTCATGGTACAGAAATGAAGTCAGACCAAAATCAAAAAAAGCAGGAAAATGGAGTAACCTTAGCACCAGAGGATACTTTGCCTTTTCTGAAGTGCCACTGTTCAGGACATTGCCCTGATGATGCTATTAATAACACATGCATGTGAGTATTATGTGTAAGAGGTCTTACAGTGGCAATAATAGTGCTAGATACAGAATGCTATAAGTTTGCTCACCTATTGTAAGGACATTTTAACTAAATAGCCTAATAATAGTTCATCTTACATGATAGCTTTCATCTTAGAAGATTAAAAATACTTTCCTTTTGCGTATAATAGAGCATATTGCTTAGAGTAAGACTCCCTTTCTCTTCTCCCTCCTCCTTTTCCTTCCCCTTTCTCTCCTCTCCTTTCCTCCTCTTTCACTTTCCCTCTTCCTCTCCTTTCTCCCTCTGCCTTCATCCTCCCTATCTGGCCCAGTCTGGAAGTACAATAACCATTCATGGATATGGACCCCACCACTAATCAGCATGGAAGCTTTGACCTGTTCCATTTCTGACCTGGGTTGCTTTGCCTTTCCTTACAGAGCCTGCCCTGCTTCCCCAAACCCTTGGGGCTCACATATGGGTTTTAAATTTTGTATAGACACCTGATTGGCTTTAGCCGTACAGCATCCAGAATTCACAAACTCACAGAACTCACCAGCCTTCTCCTCCTCCTCGGTAGTAGGAATTACAAGTATGCACCACCGGAGGCACCTGTTTTCTTAGAGAAACATCACAACTGATTTGGGTTCAATCCCTCCGCCTGAAATCCACTAGCCATGTGGCTTTGGGGAAGCCAGTCTCTTAGAACCTTTGTTTTCTCATCTGTAAGACAGAATACTATTTCCTTAGACTCACTACTTCAGAAGAGAGTTGTAAAGAAAGCACCAGGCAGGTTACAGTGTAGCACATGAATATGAGTTATTATTATTATAATAGTTTTTCAAAGGGAAATAAAAGAAAAGGAGTCAAGTGTTTTCTCATCAGGCTCCACCTGAAAATATATTAATAAAGAACCTTATATATTCCCCTCCAAAAAGAATTATGGTGTACCTGTTTTTATAAACTTGTCAGACTTTCATGTGAAACTTTATTGAGCCTGAGTTTGCGTGTCTCTGGAGTGGGATATAGGACAGGTGACTTCACTGGTATGGGAAACTCCCTCTGAGGAAATGCTCTCTACCAGCTCTCAGAGGTGCAAAAGCTAGCTCAGAATCCTTCAGTCACCATGTGTCACAGGTGGAACTGGACCAGGTTTGAGGCCATTTCTCTGTCCACTAGGCCAAAGGTATCAGACTCATTGCCCTAGTGCTTTGGAAACAAGATTAAGAGGAAATTGAGAAATGTGCCCCAAGATAAATAAAATACAACACAACCTAGCGGATGTTACTCTGCAGTTTTCTAAGTCACTGTTTAGCCAAAGGGATCATTTCTATTTGAGTTTGGCACCATTGCATTAGGTCATACTGCCTCTTCTATAGGTCAGACTTAACCTAAATAGCTTTTATCATGTAAGCCTAAAACACAAATAAAAATGGGGATGGAAACCAGAATTTTTTTGGGGAGAGGATTGTAGTTCATGTTATTTTAAAAAGAAAGAAAGACACTGACCATGTTATATGACAGACTCTTCTGGTTGTTCCTGAGACAGCCTCCCTAAGTTCAGGTGGGACTCAGGGTAATGTATTTTTCACTTGCTACCAAATCAGAGTACTTTTCTTCATTGCTGGAACGAAAAAAGTACAGGGGTGAATTCACAGCTGCTTAGAATATTAAGTGAGTGTTGTATGTCCCAGGGGATGATTTTAGATGTGGTGGTGTAAAAAATTGTTCCATGAAGTTATAAATGCAAAAGGAAAACATTACTAAGGCAGTGTATGTAAATTAGGCTGTTGAGTTGCCCAGCTTTACTAGTTTGTTGGCTTTTTACATCTTAAAGAAAAAGTTAGTTGAATAATATGTTCTTAACAGTTGTGTAATTCTGCATGGATTTTGAATGTGAATGAGTTGTCAAATTTAAGGTATTTGGTTTTCATTGAATGTTAGAAAATTCTTTGCTGCCTGGAGTCTGTTCTGTGCTTGTTGTCTTTGGTTTGTCTGCCCTCTGGTGGTGATTAGCTTTATTTTGTGACGAGTCAGCCTCTCATTTTGAGATTCCTCAGGAGTTTGACCAGGAAAGCTTTTCAGAGAGCTACTTCTCACCAGCTTTTCAAAAAGTCAGCCTGTATTTTCTGTTGCCCATATTTTTCTGTGCTAAGCACATTCTCCCATAAAAAAATCAGTATTGTTCAAAGACATTCTGGGTTGCCAAGGGGTGTATTTTATTCTATTAGATATGCTTTCTTACTCAGGCAGTGTGGTGGGGGAAAATTAGTGCATTCCATGTCTGGAAAGCTGCATCCTAGTCCTTGTTCACCTGTTAATCTGACATTGCCTCATTTATACTGCTGGTCTTAATTCAGACAGAGCTGGAGAGCATCTATTTACCCAGCCACTTTGTTTTAAACTTTACCTAGGATGCCTGTGTGAATACCACTTGTTAAGTAAGTAGTAGGGCTAAGGGAGGTGCGCAGTTTCGTTGAAGCCCAGTAGAATTAGTAAATTTTCAATGGAAGTCTTTGCATTTCTTTCAGAACTAATGGTCATTGCTTTGCCATCATAGAAGAAGATGATCAAGGAGAAACTACATTAGCTTCAGGTTGTATGAAGTATGAAGGTTCAGATTTTCAGTGCAAGGTAAGATCTAATTTGAGACCTATGAATGTTGCAAATGGTGATGGGAATCGGGTTAGCACAGTTTTGTACACTAGTATCAGTTCTGTACACCACAACCTTAGTTTGTTCATCTGTAAAATGAGTCTAAATCCATTGATTTTAGAAACCAGTTCAAGCTCCAGTGATCTGTGACATTGTTTAATTAAATGTCTTGGGGAAGAATGGGCCTCATTGCAATTTGTGATTCTAGATATGTACTGGTTATTTATTTTTAAAATTATGACAGTTCTTCCATTTCCAAATGTTGGGTGGGACTAAGGGTAGGTATTGTCACCACAAAAACCCCCAAGCCCTTCGATTTAATTTTTCATAATTTCTAAGGATATTTTTCATTATTGTTCATGTGCATATTATGAGATTGGTCGTCACTGTTTTATAGATTTGAAGATGAAATCATTGAGAAATGGCTTACTTAATGTAACACAAAGACTCGGGAAAATGAGTTCATCATTCAGACCCCTGAATTATACACTGTGTTTGGGGTGAAAAGTCAGATGGACTTATTCAATCAGGAGAAGCAAAACCAAGAAGATGTTTCGCATCAGTACTTTAACGATTAGAAGGGCAGACCTTGGAGGTAGCTCTTCATTGAAAACACTTGTGTCTTGAGATAGGTGCGCAGGAGTGGGGGGAGGGGCAATAAAAGTGGCTTACTCTTACCTTTCAACCTGGGGAGCTTATCTAGAGAGGACTGGTTTCCAGGGCAGCAGTCTTCTACACTGTTTTTAAAGCTCAGAAACATTTCAAAATGTTGAAATTTATGAAATAAGCCAAATATAAATTTAGGAAATACTTACCTGGTTGATTGATAGAGGAGAAGAAGTCATATAGATAGGGGTGACGCAGAAGGGCTGTGACAAACAGTATGAAGACTTAGAGGTGAGAGCTAAGACAGCCAAGGGAAGTCTTTGGGTTCTAAACCCATTCATAATTATACTAATAAGGCTATTTTTTTCCCTGACATTTCCTTCAGAAATGGAGAGCCTCAGCATACTAAGCCTCAGCCATGTTACAGAATAAACTTTAGTGAAACCTTTCCTTCCCAAAGCAAATGCATATCTGTGTCATTGTTTCTGTCTCCACAGTGCTTCTCACACAGCCACCACTCTAGTACAGGGTGTTACCTATTTCTTGAGCTTGGAATGCTCTTCCTCCCTACCTTCTAGTTCTTGACATCCATGTCTTCTTTGAAAACTCAATTAAAATGACTTTGCCTTCTGCAAAAGGATGTTTAGATCTCTCAGGCTATGTAGTCTTCCCCTCAAAGGCTATTTTCTTTCTACTTTCTCTGTTTCTTGTGTGTACTTTGAAATCTCTTTATCCAAAATGGTCAAAGGATATGAAATAGGCAGTTTTCAGAGGAAGAAATTAAAGCTATCTATAGTCATATGAAAAAATGCTTTAAATCACTGTTGATTAGAGAAATGCAAATCAAAACGACTCTGAGGTACCACATCACACCTATCAGATCGGCTAACATGACAAAACAGGAACGTGATAAATGTTGGAGAAGATGTGGGAAAATTGGAACACGAATGCATTGTTGGTGGAGTTGTGAACTGATCCATCCATTCTGGAGAGCAATTTGGAACTATGCCCCAAAGGCTATGAAACTGTGCATAGCCTTTGACCCAGCAGTACTACTTCTCGGGCTGTATCCCAAAGAGATCATAAAAATGGGAAAAAGATCCACACGTACAAAAATATTTATAACAGCTCTTTCTGTGGTGGCAAAGAATTGGAAATTGAGGGGATGCCCATCAGTTGGGGAATGGCTGAGCAAGCTGTGGTATATCAATGTAATGGAATACTGTTGTGCTATAAGAAATGATGAGCGGACAGACTTCAGAAAAACCTGGAAAGTCTTACATGAACTGGTGCTGAGTGAAGTGGGCAGAGCCAGGAGAACACTGTCCACAGTAATATAGCCACACTGTATGATGACACACAGGGCAGGGACTGTCTTTTGCTTTTCTTTGTATCCTTAGCTTAAAACCCATGACTGGCAGTAATAGGTACTTAGCAAATGCTAATGGACTGACTGTGTCTATTTATTTACATCTCCCTGTTTGTAGATAAGCTCCTTGAGGGCAGGAGCTGTTGTGCTTTTGTCTTTGAGTCCCAGTGCTTAGTACCTAGTGCTCTGCCTAGTGCACAGTAAATGCTTATGGAGTAAAGCATTCAAGCTTTAGCTTCGTGTGCAGGTACAGGTTTGGTTCACTGTGATACAAGTGTCTTCCCTGAAAGAAGAATTACATCATGCAGACTACCCAGTTCAATGCCCTGACCTATCAACAGATAGACCCAGTTTTTGTTGCCCTTTTGTTTATAAAGCTGCTGTACAGACTCAGTCAGTGAGCATTTATTAAGCACCTACTGTGTGCCAGACACCATGCTAAACCCTAGGGACACAAAGAGAGGCAAAGGACAGTCCCTGCTTTTGAGGAGGTCACAACCTAATGGAGGAGTCAGTTTGCAAATGAATGTGTACGAATGAGCTATTCACAGGATAGATAGGAAATAATCCAGAAAAGGAAGGCACTAGAATTAAGAGGGATTGGGGAAAGTTTCCTTTAAAGACTTAAAATTTAAATCTATAATCTCACTTTATTTGTATGCAGTGTTCTATCAGGACTTATAGAAGGAGAATATATGATTCTGTACTGGTGTTTCCTGGGCTTCAATGTAATATTTCAGCCAAAATTCAGCTGAATTTTCCTTCTCTACCATGCATTCTAGTATTTGTATCTTTGGTGCAGTTCTTGGCACAAAATAATCACTTAATTCATTTATTCATTTTTTAGTGCAGATATTTCCAGAGCTGTGACAATAATGAAATCTGAGGAATCTGCTTATCATGTTGAAACATTGATATTTTTCATACTTTTCCTCCTCCAGGATTCACCCAAAGCTCAGCTACGGAGAACAATTGAATGTTGCCGAACCAATTTGTGTAACCAGTATTTGCAGCCTACACTACCACCTGTTGTTATAGGTAGGTCAGTTGACTAAAGAAAGAGTAGCACCTGAAGGTCCCAAATTGAAATGTTATATGCAGTGCCTTTTGTTACTACTAGGTGGAATACCTTTTATCATTATGCCATGTATTTGAAGCCCAGTGTATTCACTGCATTTGAAAGTATGTTAGCTGTTAGCAGATTTGCTAATGATCAACTTTTATGCTTTCTCAACATTCTCTCAGCCTAGGACATTAGGCTTTTCAGTGTTACCAGTTTAATTTGTTCATAGATATGTGAGATATTGAATTGAAAAATTTCTCCTTTGTTCACTAAGAAAGCTTTGTATACAGGTACGGTTTTTGTTCACTGTGATAAAAGTGTCTTCCATGAAAGAAGAATTAAATCACGCAGACTACCCAGTTCAGTGCCCTGATCTGTCAGCAGATAGACCAATTTTTATTACCCTTTTGTTTATAAATACATTTCAAAGAAATATTAGAAATTGGGGGAAGGACACATGAGACTATTAACAGCGATCTTTGTTTTTTCTTAAACTTCTGGTGTGCCATTGAATTATAGTGCTGTCTTCAGAAAATTCTGAATATTTTTTCTCAAAATCAGATGTTATAAAAATTGAAGAGACTACATTGATTGTAAAGTAATCCCTTCTTGTGGTTCTACAACCAGTGTTTTTTATGATTTGTTTTAGGTCCATTTTTTGATGGTAGTGTTCGTTGGCTGGCTGTCCTTGTTTCTATGGCTGTGTGCATAATTGCTATGATCATCTTCTTCAGCTGCTTTTGTTACAAGTAAGAACTGTGCTTTATTAATGAAATTGAAGTGGATTTTTGTCATACTTGGAAAAGAAAGACAAACCCCTTAATCTAGTCTAATTGTTTCAGATAATGTCGTTGTGAAAGAAATAGGAGACATGAGAAGTTGAGAAACTCTTTATATAACTTTGCATTTTCACCCTTTTTCTCACATAAGAAAAGTTCTGCCTCCTCACCCCCTCTATCAGGCCCTTGAGGGCTTCTTTTTCTCCCATGCCCCACAAGTGACTGACATGGTTTAGGTTTGAGTTGTCAGGTATTGCAGAAGAAAGGATAACTGCCAAATCCTCTGCTTCTCTGTACTCGTGAATGCTTCTGATGATTTTCCCATTACTCGTTGCCCTTCCTTACATGTAGATTAGTAGTTTTTTTTTTCACAGAATCTACTCACATTGTAAGTTTTTAAGTGATTTTTGGCTTCAAAAATAACTGTTTAACTTCAGTCTCTTGTAGGTGATGGTGATTATTTTGAATGTCACTTGGTATTTAAATCCTGTTTTGTTCAAGAATTTTATTCTAACATTCCTTTCTTTTTATTTTCAATCAACTTTTAATGTGTTTCTAAATTTTGGCCCTTTGACTCTCTTCCACTGCTGAATTTAAAAAAATATATATATTACAAATTGAATTTGCAGCATGGAGGATTTAGATAATACATAACTAGTATTCTCTAATGAGAACTTTAAAGTGTTAGAATGACTTACTGAGGGGAGGCCTGCCTGCCCGCCTGCCCTAACTATGCTAATACTCCTTTGGAAGTATTTTTAGAGTAAGATGGACTCCCATACACAGGGCTAACTCACCTGGATATGTTTTTGTCTAAAAGCAGGAGGAGAGAATAAATTTGAGAGACTTTCAAAGGATATAATTCAGTGTGCACTATTTTTTCACTTAGCATTGTTGTCTTTTTTTTAAGGCATTACTGCAAAAGAATAGCAAGAAGTCGTTGCTACAATCGGGACCTAGAACAGGATGAAGCTTTTATACCAGTTGGAGAGTCATTGAAGGACCTTATTGACCAGTCACAAAGTTCTGGCAGTGGATCTGGACTTCCTTTGCTGGTAAATATAGTGTTTTCCCTCATTCTTCAGTAATGTCACTGTTGAGTAAAACATTTACTCCAGTTTACCATCCATCTTTACAAAAAATAATGCATGTTTACATATACATTTTATATATGGTAGCTTTGCTTTTGTTCATAGGCAAAATTTTCTTACAACAAATTCCATGGGACATTCAGCCTATTTTATTATAATGAAACTTCATTAAAATAAATTCATTTGTTTCTAAGGACCTTTATCTTGCAAAATTTTGTGATCTGTGATTTGTGAAGCTCAGTCCCAGCCTTTAGTATCTGGAGAGAAAACACATGCTAAAACCTTTTGTCTGTGGTGAAAAACAGCTCTCTCAGATTCAGTTTGCCAGTGATTCTCAGACCTGTCTGTCCAGATCTAATCTCTCTTTCTTCTTATATCACTCTGCATCAGTTCGTTATGTGTGTATGTGTGTGTGTGTATGTATTTTTTACACACACACACACACACACACACACATGAAACTGTATCATATATAATTTCTAATAGGAATGAAGAAGTATTTCATTACATTTATGTGCCATAGTTTGTTCATCCCCTCATTCGATTGGCACCTCCTTAGTTTCAGTTCTTTACCACTACAAAAAGAGATGCTGTGAATATTTTTATGCAATAGGACCTTGTCTTCTTCTTTGATCTCTTTGAGGTATAGACTTACTTCTGTCATAGATGCTTAATAAATTCTTGTTGATTGATCTACTGCTATTAGTAATAATAGTATAGTATAGTAGTATATACTATTGGAATAAGGAATAATATAATAATATATAATATATAATAAGTAACAGTATAGTATAGTAATAATAGTATAGGAATAAGGAAGAAATATAGTTGTATTTTTTTACTGGACCTACGATTTTAATTGCATAGAGAACCCCCAACGAGTAAATTCTATCTACCAGTGCTGATCAGCTCCTGCTCTGTTTATAGCATGGGGCACCAGGAAGTGAAGCCATTTGTTCAGAGTCCCAAGGCCAGTGCGTAGAAATAGGACTTGCACACAGGCCTTCTCATCTCAGGAGTTAGTTCTCTCTCTGTGATGCCACACTACATGTCATAACTGCATGTGTGTTTGTGTGTATGTATACACATACAACAGTTCCTGATTTTGGGATATATTATGCATTATGTTTTCTTTTTATTTGGTGTTATTAATATTTAGTGAGCTTAGTATATTATCATTCCTAATAATAACAGCATGTAGCTAACCTTTTAGATGAGAGTACTTTGGTAGGCAAATGAACTTGTAATAAGTTTTAGCCTAAATTCTTTTTTTTCCAAGGGATTAAAAAATATGCCAAAACAATTTTTTTCCCCTAACAGGTTCAACGAACTATTGCCAAGCAGATTCAGATGGTTCGACAGGTGGGAAAAGGTCGCTATGGAGAGGTGTGGATGGGGAAATGGCGGGGTGAAAAGGTGGCAGTCAAAGTGTTCTTCACCACTGAAGAGGCCAGTTGGTTTCGGGAAACAGAGATCTATCAAACTGTTCTAATGCGTCATGAGAATATCCTCGGTAAGCAGATTTGGCCTTGGAAGAAAAAGTATTGAGTCAAATTGTAAAGGGGTGTAGTAGTTAAATAATGATGAAGTGTGAAAGTACTTTAAAATTCAGGTTATATAATATTTGTAAGTTCTTTGAAACAAAGATCATCTTGACCTTATTTTTGCATTATATCCTTGTTATGTAGACAGTACGTGTAGAGGTTTTTAACCTTGCTTCTTCATGTATGATAGTTCCATTTTGACTCCTTATTTGATTTCCATGCTCTTACTTTGGAGATAGTGTTTAAGGTGTTGACCACAAGAAGCAAACTGGAAAAGTAAGATAAATGGGCAAAAAGGAACTGACTTCAATTCAGGACTCATTCTTTTGATGTATCTCATGGTTAATTATAGGAATGGCCCCAAATCCTATGTTAGCTTGCCTTTTTTTTTTTTAACCAAAGCAAACTTAAGCTCATGAGACTATCAAAATAAAAGGAACCCTCTGCCATTAGTCCAACCCACACTTGATCAGGAGACCCGAAAATGAACCTCTCATTTCCATTTGAATACCTCTAGTAATGGTGCACTCAGGGTTCTCCTGGGGCATCTCTTGTTTGTCAGGAAGCTTCTTCTTCGTGTGACTCCATGGTCTGTCATTGCAGTTTGCATGCCTTCTTCCTGTCTCTTTTCTCTGGAGCCAAACGTACCAAGGCTCGTCCCCTTTCCTATGTGATAGGCCTTCAGATACTTCAGGGTGGCAATCATGGCATCCCTTCTGGCTTAACGTCCTGAATGCCCTTATTTGATCCTTAGGATTTTAAGTTCCCTCATCATCCTTAGTACTGCCCTTCTCTGGACACAGTCCCTCTTCTCAGTGTTCTTCCTAAAAAGCGGCACCTAGATTGTGTCTGTGGCTAAGGATGGCAGAAGGTTCCCCTCCCTCTATACCATGCACATTATGAATGCAGCCTGAGATGGGATTCCCTTTTTGGGCAGCCATTTTACCTAAATCCTGCACTTCTGCAAGGGAGTTTGTTTGTAGTTCAGCTCTATTCTTTTCCCTCTAAGCTTGCCTTATAGACATAAGGGAAGCTTTGTTTGGGAAGATAAATTTCCCCAGATCTTCATGAAGCAGGTAATTTCACCCTTTATTATGAAGCATGCTGCATTTTACATGTGAGGATGTCGTAGCCTTGGAGCTGCAGTGGCAAGGCCATTTTACAGGTGACTGAGCCAGGAAGGCCCTGGGAGGTCAAAGCATCAGAGGCAGGATCTGAACCCCAGGCCTGTGATTCCGGGCTAGTGCTCCACCACATTGCCTGCCATGTTGTGGAGACATGTAGTGATGGGGGAAGCAAGCGGTTTCTGTCGGGGATTCCTGTACCCAGGCAGAGTCAGATTTCAGTCACCTTGTAGGGAGCCGGACGAGCCCCTCACGCTTGTGCTTCATCGATCGGACAGGTTTTATCGCGGCTGACATCAAGGGCACAGGCTCTTGGACGCAGTTGTACCTGATCACCGACTACCACGAAAACGGATCTCTGCACGACTTCCTGAAGTGTGCCACTCTGGACAGCAGGGCCCTCCTCAGATTGGCATATTCAGCTGCTTGTGGCCTGTGCCATCTCCATACAGAGATCTACGGTACCCAAGGAAAGCCTGCGATCGCCCACCGAGACCTGAAGAGCAAGAATATCCTGATCAAGAAAAATGGGAGTTGTTGTATCGCCGACTTGGGCCTCGCTGTGAAATTTAACAGGTAGTACTTTGTGGGGCCCCAGCCACCCTCACATGCCCAAGGGTGAGAGTCTTCGTGCCTCAGAGGAGAAGGATCTGCTTAGGTCCATGGAGATGTGATTCAGAAGTGCTTGTGTAGATGCTTTGGTGCCCTTTACGCTGGGGAAGGCACGGTGCCGCTCTCCTTTTGCAGTGGCAGTGGCCTGTTCATCACAGGGCTCTTCCTTCCTTGCCTTGGAGGAGCCAAGACTGTATGTTCAGGAGTCTGTCTTTGTGGCCGCTCAGCTGCTGCTTTGGGTTCTGTGTGTGTGTGTGTGTGTGTGTGTGTGTGTGTGTGTGTTTGATAAAAACTATAAAAATAGTATTTTTATTTGGGGTTTAATTGAGCTGAAGTAGTTTCTTTTCTTGCCAACTGAAAAATAAACGAAGGTTTCCGTTTAATTCTCCTTCACAAATGATACCTGGATCAGAAATTGACAAGAGATGTTAAGTAAAAGGAAAAATAAGGGGTGACTTAAGTTTCCAACTAAGATTCCATAGTAAGGTATTAAGAAATTGAAAAAAAAAATAGCTTCCGCTCAGATGGAGGTGACTGACTCAAAGGGCTGATGGGGGCACTTTTTATTTAAACATGGCCAACAAGGGAATTTGTTGTTCTTGACTCTGCCTTTTTATAATAGGGTGGGGTGTTTTTCTGGCTTTCTCAGTGGGCCATGTGGCAGGGAAGGAGGGAGAGAAGGTAGAATTTTGTGGGGCGAAAAAATGAATTTAAAAAGAAGGAAAGTAGTTTAGTTTGAAACCATATCCTGAAACAACAGAGAACCAACCAAATGGTATCCTAAAGGCCAAATATGGGAAATAGAGCAGTAATATTATTACAGTATATAGCTACATTTTTCCATATTGTAGACAATTCAGTCTACATGTGTGAACTTTGTTGTATGTCCACAAACTAACTTTAAGAAAATAGAAAATAAATATATTTGTACTGCCCTCTGACTTTGTGGTGGTTTTTTCTCTCTTTCAGTGATACAAATGAAGTTGATGTCCCTTTGAACACTAGAGTAGGTACAAAACGTTACATGGCCCCAGAAGTGCTCGATGAAAGCCTAAATAAAAATCACTTTCAGCCATACATCATGGCCGACATCTATAGCTTTGGACTGATCATGTGGGAGATGGCTCGTCGCTGTGTCACAGGAGGTGGGTGTTCGTGTGATGCCGCCAGGAGAGAAACAGCAAGCTGTGCCTGTTTAGGTTATGTAATTGAAATGTCTTTATTACGCTTTTTCTTGGGGAGAAATGGATTTTTTGAACTAAAGGAAATTGCACTAGACATTTTGGAGAAGAGATGCTTTGGGGATGGGTCAGATCCTTTGTTGAGGAAGAAAAAAATAATCTTTTAACTGGGCGTATTGAAGGAAGAGGTTAAGTGCAGTGGAAAGAGTCCTGGAACTGGGTTCAAATCCTGGCTCTGCTGTTTACTAACTGACCTTAGAGCAGTTACTTACCTCCAGATACTGCGTGTAGAAATAGATACTTAAATTAGGACTCAAAGGAAATGAGGGAGCCTAGGAAGCACTAAGGTGAAGGGGGGAGGACCTTGTAGGCACTGGGGGGCAGCCTGCTCAAGGGGATCAGTAGGGAAAATGGAGTACTGGATGGGGAGGCTAGGATGGAATCGCTCTTGGGATGTAGTGTGTGTGAAAAGGGAAGAGAGTGTCATCAGGCTGGAAAGGTGGCGTGGAGCCAGGTTGTGAAGGACCTGTAGCGCCAGACAGAGGAACGCATAGCTGGTCATAGAAGTAATAAGGAGCCACTAGAGTTTTAGTAGGAGAAAGATATGGGTAGGTCTGTACTTTAGGAAAACCTCTTTGACAGCCATGTGAATGTTGGATTGAAGTGGGCAGGCAGAGCAGTTAGGAGGTTATTGCAGTGCAGTTTAGGTGAGAGATAATGAGGGCTTGAACTATGGTAGTAGCTGTGTGTGAGTACGGAGATAGAAAGGTTCTTGGGTGTTGTGGTGGTGATAGAAGATTTGGCAGGTGATTGTCAAATGTGGAGTGAGACAAGAATGGAGTAGGACACAGAATTTGGGAATCTGAGTAACTGGAAGCCTGGTGGTTCCCCTTTGGAAGAGGTTTCCCTTTGGGTTTTGGAAGTAAAAGTTATGTTTTGGATGTGTTAAACCTGAGATATTATGGGGCATCCAGTTTGGATTATGTGGGGCTCAAAATTAGCAGAAACACTAACAGAATATAGATATCTTATAGTCTTCAGCATAGGGAATGTAGTCAAACCAGTGGGAGTGGTTAAGCTCATCGGTAGAGAGAAAAGAAAAAAAGACCCAGAACGGTCTTGGGTTACATCCTAAGAGTACCCCCAAAGGTACGTCGTAAGTCCTTTCTGGTTTTGATATTTTGTGATTATGTGAAGTAAATTGGAAGATAAGTGAAAGACCTGTAACAAATATTTTCTGAAGAAACCGTAAACATTAGCACTAAATTCTAGTTAACCTTGATTTAAAGTTTACTTTGTTATGTAGAAGTAAATTATGTATCCACAATTGGGCTAATTAAGATTAATTAAGTGTAATTACTTTATAGTAGATTTATCAGTTTTGTTTGTCTGTTGCCACTCAGAGTTTTGGATTTTTTCTCCCCATTACAGGCATTGCAGAAGAGTACCAATTGCCTTACTACAACATGGTGCCTCATGATCCTTCTTACGAAGATATGCGTGAGGTTGTGTGTGTTAAGCGATTGCGCCCCATCGTGTCCAACCGATGGAATAGTGATGAAGTATGTTGGAAATTAATTTCTCTGTAGTCACAAATCTGTAGGAATATATTCCTTTTTCTTTTCTTATTCTTTTTTTAAATGGCATTATCTGTTTTCTCTGTGTTTCAGTGTCTAAGAGCTATCTTGAAGCTAATGTCAGAATGCTGGGCCCACAACCCTGCTTCAAGACTTACCGCCTTGAGAATCAAGAAGACACTTGCCAAGATGGTTGAATCTCAAGATGTAAAGATTTGACAATTACATAACACTCAGGAGCTGCATTGGACTCCAAGAACTTTCTTCACCCAAGCAAAGGGTGGTGATTGAAGTGGCATGAGGAAATACATGTGGTTCTTAGACTTTTTCCTCACCACACCTTTACAGGCTGCTAATATGAAACCTTTCAGTACTCTGTAGAATATGATGCTGGGAACTTGTGTTCACTACATGCTACGTTTATGGACAGCCTTGTTTTAAATGTGTTTCTTTTTTGTTGGGGGGGAGGAGGGATTATGAGCTATGTTGAAACTTCAGTCATCGTTCATGAGTCTCCAGTAAAACTCTGGGTACTGAATTGCATGTTTATATTATGGTGCTTTCTGTGAAAGCCTTAAGAAGAAAATGAATTCAACAGAGATGGAGAAATATAAGCTTTTGCCTTCTACCTGATAAAACTTAGTCTGTTCATATTATTGCTTTTGTAAAACAGCCTGTAGATCATGATCATTTTGGGATACTACTCTCTTTTTAACAGTTTATCGTCTGTGTTGTGTGTGTGCCAGGATTCCTCTGCTGCCATGTGGATTAAGAGAAAAAAATGAGGAATGAATGCCCAGGAAGGTGGGGCTGGTTAGTGCTTTGGGTCTTTGTCATTGTTGCAATAAGACTAGCCAGTCACATAAAAGCCATTTAGCTCATAGGAGTAATTGGCTTCCTTACCAGCACCTTTTCTGACCAGGAAAGTTGGTAGTGATTGAAAAGCCAAAAGAAGCTAAGACCATGTTTCTAAACCTGAGCTTCATTCCTCTTTTCTTTTCTTTCTTTCTTTCTTTCTTTCTTTCTTTCTTTCTTTCTTTCTTTCTTTCTTTCTTTCTTTCTTTCTTTCTTTCTTTCTTTCTTTCTTTTTCTTTCTTCTTTCTTTCTTTCTTTCTTTCTTTCTTTCTTTCTTTCTCTTTCTTTCTTTCGGCAATTTTTACTGTTATTGTGAAAAGCATAATATCTTTAGTTGGAACTCCCAATGTGATGACTGTCCTTAAGAACAAACTCACTTATTGGGGTGATTTTGATAGCAATTTAAGTGCCTACAACCTTGTCCTGTACAGTTTGTTCTAGGTGACTTTTAAAAGGGAAATGACGTATCTTGTGCACAGTGTGCTTGATTTGCAGGACATCAGTCTTACCTTCACTTTGGGTAGTCACGTTTGTCCACACACATTCGTGCCATAGAAACCAGATCACACACGCCTCATAGCCCAGGCTTACAAGGTGAAAAGAAAAAAAACAACCATCACCCAAAGATAGTTAGGAAGAACATTTATGCATATGAATGTGGATGTGTTTTCGAAAGGAATGCATTCAAATTTATATCTTCTAACCGAGGCTTTGTTACAATATACATACAATAACAGCTTTCAATATAATAATTTCATTTAAATTTTTCCTTACGAGAGAAAATTCTAATTGGAAATTTATTTTGCAGAACCTACATGAACGTACCAACAACTGCTAACTAGGTTCTAGCCCATCTTAGTCATTATTTGAAATTTGGGGTTTTTTTAAGAAACAATATTTTTTCCATTGTTTATAAAGCAGATGCAAAAAGGTCAGGCAAAAAAAAAAGAAGTATCAGTGTTTTTCTTTACTATCACAGTGTACAGATTTTATTTAACAAAGTGCTACATATTTTATAGAATCCTGGTTATCTCAAGGGACATTTCTGTTCTTTGAAGTTATTACAGTTTTGTAATGTCTGTTAAGTATTAATGTTATATTCTGGCAGAACAATTCATGGGCCCATGAAGTTAGACTTAAATTTAGTTTTGGATGCAGCATAGGACAATAAATGGGGTTGTGCTATAGAAGTACTGAAGACAAAGGGCTGTAATTTTTTAAAATAATAATTTTTAGAGCATTTTCCCGTCCATTGCCAAAACTTGACTGACATTGAAGGTCGAAGCTGTTGAGTATTTCTAAGCAGACCAGTTTTGCACAGGTAACTGGAAACTGGAAAGATTTAACATTTTTACAGTCTAAAATAAAGCTTCTCTTTGTCATGTTCTAAGGTTGAAGCATTCTTTTAAAAAAAATTGATTTCTGTGTCCCATGAGCTTGTTCTTTCAAAAGAACAGTTTTTCCATCTGTTTGTACAGAGGGACACAAGTACTGTAATGTGAAGTGCCATGTGACTCAAGCTCCTTTATTAGCTCTGACTTATTTGTCTAATTTGACCTTAATTTTTTTTGGACATGACAAAATTACAAACTTTCAAAGAAGCCGTTTGTTATTATTAATAAAAACAGAGAAAATATGAAAAATGCAACCTTTCTTCCCAGCAGTTTTTTTAAGATCACAAAATATTTTCAGAAGCAGAATATTAGGCATACTGCATAAATGTCAGAGTTATGCTCAATAAACTAGTAGTAGAAAATTGGTTTGAAAATCATAGCATTCAGAAGATTTCAGTAAGAATATTTGTAAGGAACAACATGGTGTTGAAACATAAATGTTACCTTATTTGGAAACCCTTCTATTCCTTTCTCCTCATTCAAAATTACGTGTTTATTCTGTGTATGAAGTACTTAAAATACAGGGTGTCCCCAAAGTCGCATTGCAGTTTCAAGCTACTTAAGCTAAAAAGCCTTTCTGGGGCTTGGAGGATGACCCTGGTGTTGGATGCCAGTGTGGGCCTCATTGCCTGCAAAGGCTTTAAGGACTTCCCTGGGTTGGAGGAGGGGCCTGTCTGTGTACCTGCTTCTTAAAAGACCAGCCTATTCAAGTGACCCAGGGCAAGTCCCTCCTGAAGCTTAAAACTGAGCTTAGATGTCGATGTGAGACTGAGCAGAGAGGAGCATGCCTGGTGCCCCTTAACTCTAGTGAAAGAGAATGCAGTGTCTTGAATCAGCTTTCCTTCTAATTGATAAAGGAATTAGATTATTGCTAGAATTGAAGGTACAGTTGAACTTGAAAATGATTTCAGTTTGATACCTTCTTATCAAACAAATACCAGAGGTATGAGAACTAAATCCAGTTTTTCTGATAACTTTTCTGGAATACCTTCCAGCATGAGTTTTTGTTCCCCACCCACTGTGGTCTTTTAACATCAATATTTAAGTAAATTTTTTAAACTTTGAAATGCCTGAAAATAACATTTAACCAAATTGTGCCAGATCTCTTATTTACTATAGCCATATTTAATTTTTTTTTTCTTTATGCTAACTTTACTTTTGGAAATGAAAGCAACAAAAAGTTCAAATATTTCCCTTGACAGTTTCCCTAGGATCAAATAGAAAGCCTTGTTTAGAAGTATTCATTCATCAAACTTTTGTCCAACATCTACAGTGTCTCAGAGCTCTCTTCTAGGTTCTGGAAAAAATACGAAGTTCAGCTAAGGACATCTTTGCCTGTAAAGAATTTATATATTTTTTTCTAGGATTGGTTCCCTATTTTAAATTACTGATTTTTTTCCTCAAATGTATTTGAAGTTGAGTTTTTTTCTAAATAAGTAAAGCATTTTGGATAGGAAAAATGCCATATAATTTTAAAATGTCCTTTTGGAATTAAAGGAGGAGCTACAGCTGTCATTTATTTTGGTCAGATACTGACAGGGCAATCTGTCAGCTCTCCCTCTGGCCTCACTGTTATGAGAAATCAGAGAGAGAGTTTCTTAGAGAAGTGGCACGTTTCGTACTTACAGTAGAATTATGTCTGACAGGGTGGTACAGAGCCACCATGGGGCACTTGGCCCAGGGAGGCCCATAAGGAAAGTGTGGTTCATATTGCTTGAGTAAAGTATACACTGTCATCTCATGGTGATTTTAAGCTCCTTCTCCTACACCAGAGGTGTCACACTCATGGCTGGCCTCATGCTTCCAGCAAAACTCCCGTACAGCCTAACCAGATTAAAATGTCATGGGGAAATGTTTAACAAATGAAATAAAAATATGGTGTAACATAATGTTAATTTGTGGTTTTCTAAGTCAACATTTGGGCTGTAGGGATCTGTTTCTATTTGAGTTTGACACCACTGCTGTACATACACTACCTTTTAAAAGCCCATCCTAGTGACTGCCCTTGAAATGCCCATTTTAAAACTAAATTGTAGTATATTGTATAAAAAGAAAGTAACATTATACCTTACTTAGAGAAAATGTAAATAGAAAATGAAATAAAATAAACAGTTTGATTAAATTCTCGCTTAGATACCAGAAGTGTAGATTACGCTTTTAAATGGTAATACACTAAATGTATTTTGTACAGCATCTGGTTTAAAAGGTGCCTTATTAAGTTTACCATGAATTGCTTTGTTCTGTACACAGATTATGTCCAATGTATCATTTTTAAGTAAATAACCTTATTTTAGTACATATTAGTAATGTGTTTTGTGCTGCCGTGCTTTTCTTGTGTTGGGCCCCAAGGTTAGTTTTTTTTTTTTTCAGAAAAGTCTAGAGGGATTTCCCCATGAACGTGTTTGTTTCTGTACAATGCCTAGAAGCCCCTTTCCACCATTAGTAATCTAGTCAGGAGCACAGAGCAGAAGGTTGCTATTTCAGTTCTCCTTTATATAGAAAAGGAAATGTGTACAGTTAACTGTAATATGTCTCCTGAAGTCCTAAGGAGGCATCTGATTTTAGAGACCCTGATTCTCAGAAACACTGCCAGCAGAATACAGACTCTGGCCAGCTCTCCTGCCTAGAAAGGCCTTAAGCACTGGCTCTGTGTGGCCCTGGAAGTGAGTCACTTCTTTTCAATGTCTAAGACTAAGTTGCAGAGATGATTCTGGTCCTCACTGGTGGGGGGAATATGTTCATCCAGAAGTTGTTTATGTCAATGAAATCAGCACGAGTCCCAGTCCCTAGACCTGTTTCTAAAGGACCAGCCTGTCTAATCAGGTTTGGAGAGGCTCATCAGTAAGAAAGTTGACCACTAGATCATTTTTATTTTGGTCTCAGGAACTCTTGAAGACCATCTCTGAAGGTGTGAAAGGTCAGTGTTGTGCAAGGCTTCCGCCTGTGAAAATTTGGGTTACTGTAGTAATAATGGTCAGACGGATCAATATGGTCACGGATGACAAACTTCGGAGCTCTTCAACATGTTAACAGCACTCTTCCTTGCTCCCACCTTGTGTCTCTTTCCTCTCTTGCTAAAGGTAAAGGAAGTATGATAGTTAAAATGCAATTTGATTTCAAGTGATGATAATTTAGGAATACCTTTGTGTTTGAGCTTCACCTTATCCCATTCTTAGTTCATATTAGGTTTGTGAGCCCAAGGTATGTGTGGTAGCAGAGGAGGGAAAGATAGAGGGGAAAGGTTAAGGGAGAAAAGAGAAACAAGTATATTGTGGCAAAGTAATTTGTCATATCCATCTCATGGATTTAAAAATCAAGTTGAATTTTTTTTTCCTTTTGAAATGGGAAAGGCCTTGAATAATTCAGCCAGAAGATAGCAGTTTAACTTTTCTATGGATCAGTTTTATTTAGCTGTGTGGTGTGTCCCAAGAGGCTTTTGAAAACCTGAATAGGTGTCTTTGGTAAGTATTCAACAATATCTCTTCTAATATTATTGTGAATCTGTCTTCACTAAAGTTCCCCCTATGAGCCTCCTTTGTGTCCCAGAAGTTACCTTCCTTTCTTTAAGGTCATGACAGTAGACCACAAACCCTGCCCCTGAAATAGGAAGGCTTCAGAGATGGCCTGAACCAAAGATCATCCTGGGATAAGTGTAGAAAAAAGCAGAGAAGTTCTTTGCTGAGAGGCCGCACCAAGCCATGCATTTGGGGGCTAAAGCAACAAGTGAGAAACAGTCTAATAAGATATAAAGTAATTTCTATCTGCTTGGGGGAAGTAGGAATCCACGAAGTATAAGTAATAAGTCAAT